CCTGAACATACCTGGGTCGGGGGGCCTGTGGGAGGCAATTGGTCGATGTGTCTCACATCGGTCTCTCTCTCTCTCTCTCTCTCTCTCTCTCTCTTTCTCTCTCTAAAAATCAATGGGAAAAAATATCCTCAGGTGAGGATTAACAAAAAAAACAAAACAAAAGCCCTAACCAGTTTGGCTCAGTGGATAGAGCATCGACCTGCGGACTGAAGGGTCCCAGGTTCAATTCTGGTCAAGGGCATGTACCTTGGTTGCAGACACATCCCAGTAGGAGGTGTGCAGGAGGCAGCTGATCGATCGATGTTTCTCTCTCATCAATGTTTCTAACTCTCTATCCCTCTCCCTTCCTCTCTGTAAAAAATCAATAAAATATATAAAAAATAAAAGAAAGAAAAATCCCTAAACAGGTCCTCACAGCCTGAAACTACCATATCTTGCAGATAACACATCTTTATCTTAAGCCCAGATCACTCTCTGAGTACTAGATCAGTCCATTCAACTCTCTTTTTAAATGTTCTGCAGGCACTTTAGACATTTTTGAGAGATCTGGGAGGCATCCTTAATCCCTTCTCCTTCCTTTCACCTACATTCATTTTGTCACCAAGTCTTGTTAATTCTACCTTTCAAATATTTTTCTAGTCTGCCTCTTTTCCTTGGTCTTGTTTTTCACAGTAACCTAAGTTAACTTCTCTAATTCCATCTTCACACACCATACACAGTGATCGTTCTAAAACACAGATCTCATCATGTCACTTCCCTGCTTACAACCTTTTAAAGGCCTCCCTGTCGCCCACAGAAGTCTAAATTCTTAAATATGGCATCTGAGGCCTTCCACAACCAGGTTCATTGCTACTTCTTCACCCTCAATTCCTTCCACCACCTCGGAATTCCCAGTAAGATGTTTTAATGCACTTCCTCCACACACAACACGGTAGTTTATACCTCTGTGCCTTTGCTCATGCTGATCTTTCTGCCTCATACTCCATTTCTCTCTTCTTGCCTCATCTAATTCTTACTTGTTTTTCAAAATAAAGTTACACCAACTCTTCTTCTTTCATCAGTTTAGGTTAAAAATCTCTGCAAGTTGCATTCATTGTGCCTTGTACTTGCTCTAACAGTATATTGAAACTAGAGGCCTGGTGCATAAATTCATGCACAGGTGGAGGGTCCCTCGGCCTGGCTGGTGATCAAGGCCTATCGGGGTGCTGGCCAGCTCCCCCATCGGGGCCAATTGGGGGTGCTGGCCGGGAGGGAGGTTGTCTGTGGGAGCACACTGACCACCAGGGGGCAGCTCCTGCATTGAGCATCTGCCCCCTGGTGGTCAGTGTGCATCATAGCGACTGATTGACCGGTCGTTTCAGTCGTGCAATCATAAAGGTCGCATAGGCTTTTATATATATAGATACTCTCCTTAGGTCCCCACCTCTTACTCCTATCATTGTCCCCCATGCCTGTCTCAATGCCAGGCACACATTAGGTGCTTGAACTGAACTGACCAGTGAAAAAGTGCCACCCATGTCCCTGAGCCTATTTGATTCTCAATACATAAGGTTGCGCTTTCATATCATTATTTGCTGTGGGTGGGAAGACTGCTTCTCTAATGTTCCCTTACAACTCCTCACTCTGAGGAATGGGCATCCTGGGTCCTTTGCCCAGCTACAACTCCCAGGTTTTATCCTTACCTGCCTTCTCAATACCAACACATTATGCAACTCGGGAGGCTACTGGACACTCCTGGAAACCTGCCCTTTAGCAGATCTTCCCTTTAACTTATGAGATCATTTTTTGAGTAGTATTAAGTGTTTCCTGTTGTGGCAATCTGGGCTTCTGGGCCTGTTTTGCCCGGAGAAAGGGGCCCATTGGCAATCACTGAGTCTCCAGAACTATTGTCATCTGAATGTAGGGTGGCTGTTATCACCAGGGCAGTGTGTATGCATGCACACCTGCATGCATGCCTATGTGGAGGCTCCTCTAATTTCTCTTGCTGCCATGATAATCCCTACAGTGTAGAGACTGTGCTCATCTCATGCGGGCACTAGGGACCTTGGAGTGAAAGGAGTCAGACATCCAGAACATGAAGACTCCCAGAATGTCTGTCTCTGCCTTTCTGTGGTGTCTCCTCTGTCTCCCTCCATGTGGGAATAATACTTACAAATCACTGTTCCTGACACTAACCCTGGTGGTTGCAATGAATCTGCTCTGAAAGGTAAGGAAGAGTTGATAGAAAGGAGCGCCTCAGACTGGCACTGGGGTGCACTCTAGGACTTACCAGAAGATGTCACTGTAGGCTTAAATCAGGAAAACATACTAGGGAAGGACTGTCAGCTAAGCATGAAGGTGACTCCACTATGGTGGTTCAAAACACCCAGCAGCCCCCATTATAATGCATGCCTGGAAAAGCTGGTTGAAAGATTAATCCAAATGTGTCACTGAACTTAATAAATTTCATTTTTCCCCCCAAATAATCAGACTAATTGTCACTAAGCTTTCGCCTGAGACCTAGCATAAAGGCTTGATAATTATGTACTGAATGAATGAATGAATACCAAAGCTTGGAGTGGAAGGAGGAAGCCCATGGGAATAGTCAACTTTGTTGGTAAAGGCTGCTGGGGAACAAAAGCTGCTACTCATTAACGGGGTATCTTCACTGAGATGAATTTTAGTGGCAGTCACTAAGTCAGGTCCTAAGAAAAGCAGTGAGAATAGGTGAAGGTGGTCTTGGCCCCCTCACCATCTTCACTCCCAGATGCTCTGTGTCCATGCTTGTTTATTCCAGAAAAACATTGAAAGTGATTAAAATTTTTTTCTGTAATTTTTGCAAAGCACTTAGAAGATTAGCCAGAGTTTTTATATGATCAGGCATATCCTTCTTAGTTTCCAATTTCTCCAGAATAGTAAATTAAATAAGCAGTTGAAGGAGTTACTGAGATTCTGCTTTGTGCCAGGTGTAAAGGCCAAAGTACAAAGCTGGGATGGGTGGTGTGAGAGTTATAGAAGGATGGCTCAGAGCCCCTGTCCTAGAAAACATAGTATAAGCAGAAATAGAAACAAGTAATTGCAATTCAGTATCAAAAGTGTTTTAACACAGGCCAAGTGTGGAAGCCCTATGTGACACAGGGAAAAGGTGATGGCTGGCAGCAAGCGTTGCAGTAAGTTTTCTCAGAAGAGAAGTAGTACTTGGACTGGGACTTGAAAGATGAGTAGAATTTTCCAGTCAAAAAAGGAAGGTCACACCAGGTAGAGGAAACACCAGGCACAGAATAGAGACCTACAGGATAGCTCCCAGGGTGCCTGAGTTGCTCAAAGACCAAGACTTGGGAGAAACGTTTCCTCAGAGGACGTCAGCCAACAGACTTAGTTGGGTGATTGAGTTGGTTCCTTCTGGCTCCTTGTGCATGTGTGCAGGGCCAGCAGCCTTTCACATGGGAATGAATAAACTTCAGAAAAGCTGTAAGCCCTTCCCCAGGCTTTCTTTAAGGAACTAAATGCTAATATTCAGTGTTTATTGTTGTTTTCCTTCCACAATATGCCCTTCCATGACCTTGTCTTTCATGCACTGCGCCTGAATGGAAATTCATTTCTTATTAAAAGCCCACCCCATGGTTGTTTCCCTTGAGTATACCTGATCATATCATAGGCCTTAATGTTCCTGCGGTAGGGGGTGTGTGTGTACCTGCTATGTATGGGTGTGTGTGGTTTTAATGTTTGCTAGTTTGCTATTTGAACAAAGAATTTTATCAGCATTCAGCTTTAAAGTGAAGAATCACACAGCTAAGCCTCTGCTCTTGCTGACATCGAGTTGTCCTTTTAATGGGTAAAGAAAAGGGGCATTTTGATACCTACAGAGTTAATTTTCCTATCGGGAAAAGTATCATGTGAGCGAAGACTGAAACCAATGTAGTAGCTTGCATATATGCCATTGGCAGATACTATGTCTATTTCAGTCAGTAATTAACCACAATGTTTATTCCTGGAGGCCCTGGGCTGCTCTGCCTATCTCTGCATTCCACTTCCATAATGTATAAGCCATGATGTTTATACAACCAAAATCAAAGATATCATATCAAACACTCTTTCAATGAGGTTTTGTTTTTTAATAAGATATTCTCAACCAAAGGACTTGTATGCATGCATATAAGCCTAACCAATGGACACAGACACCAGGGGGGTGAGGGCATGAGTGGGGGTGGGTGGGAGGGGGCAATGGGGGATAAGGACACATTGTAATACCTTAATCAATAAAGAAAAAAATAAGATATTCTGATTAAGCCCTAGCCAGTTTGGCTCAGTGGATAGAGTGTCGGCCTGCGGACTAAAGGATCCCAGGTTCAATTCTGGTCAAGGGCACATACCCAGGTTGCAGGCTCCATCCCCAGTAGGGGGCATGCAGGAGGCCACCAATCGATGATTCTCTCTCATCATTGATGTTTCTATCTCTCCCTCTCCCTTTCTCTCTGAAATCAATAAAAAAATTTATTTAAAAAAAGATGATATTCTGATTAGACTGGATATTGAGAAAAAAGCTTTTGTGTATTTAGCAAGAAAGATTAGAATTTATTTTCACTTATCAATTCCATATCACTTCAATAAAATCACTTACTTCCAACTGATTCTTCATTTCATGGTCATTTAATGGGAGTTTGCATGGGGCGGTTTGAAATAAAATGGTTGCCTACTTAGCAAATGGGGCCACTGAAAGGATTTTGTCATTGTTTGGAGAGAGAGAGAAACAGAGGGCAAGTGAAGCATGACAAGACGGATGTCCTAGGCCTAAACTTTTGATACCAGCAAGTTAGGTGAAAGAATTAGCTATCTGAACAGGCTAGTGAAACTAAAGAGAGGAGACTACAGCACAGTTCACAGGGAAAATGCCACCAGATCTCCATCATTCCCCTTTTGCCTTCCTTACTAGCCAGTGAACATCGCATATGCCATACACCTCCCTGATGCCACTATGTCACCCACATCCCTGACTGTTGGTCTTTGTGCTTTTTCCATAGGAACTTCCACTATATCACCATCCTCCGAGACCCAGTGTCCCGGTACTTGAGTGAGTGGAGGCATGTCCAGAGAGGGGCCACATGGAAAGCATCACTGCATGTCTGCGATGGAAGGCCCCCAACCTCTGAAGAGCTGCCCAGCTGCTACACTGGTGATGACTGGTCTGGCTGCCCACTGAAAGAGTTCATGGACTGTCCCTATAATCTGGCCAACAACCGCCAGGTGCGCATGCTCTCTGACCTGACCCTCGTAGGCTGCTACAACCTCTCTGTCATGCCCGAAAAGCAAAGAAACAAGGTCCTCCTAGAAAGTGCCAAATCGAATCTGAAGCACATGGCATTCTTCGGCCTCACTGAGTTTCAGCGGAAGACCCAATATCTGTTTGAAAAAACCTTCAACATGAACTTCATTTCGCCGTTTACCCAATATAATACCACTAGGGCCTCTAGTGTAGAAATCAATGAGGAAATCCAAAAGCGGATTGAGGGACTGAATTTTCTGGATATGGAATTGTACAGCTATGCGAAAGATCTCTTTCTGCAAAGGTATCAGTTTATGAGGCAGAAGGATCATCAGGATGCTAGGCGGAAGCGTCAGGAACAGCGCAAATTCCTGAAGGGAAGGTTCCTTCAGACCCATTTCCAGAGCCAGGGTCAGGTCCAGAGCCAGAATCCGAGTCAGAATCAGAGTCAGAACCCAAATGTGAGTGCAAATCAGAACGTGACTCAGAATCTGCTTCAGAATCTGCTTCAGAATCTGACTCAGAGTTCGAGTCAGAATTCAATCCAGAAAGAAAACCGGGAAAGCCCGAAGCAGAACCCAGGCCAAGAGCAGAGCGATAGCAACACCAGCAATGGCACCAATGACTACATAGGCAGTGTAGAGAAATGGCGTTAAATGGCTCCCAAAGGCTTTTGCGCACTCTTCCCAAAGCGCCAGAAAAAATATGGCAAATCTGAAAAGATGAGAGTGTCCAAACACATCTTGCTTCCTTAAATTTGGAAGCTAAAAAAAGTTAAGATGTTGCCTTTACAGTTGCCTTTCAATTAAATGTTATACTGTGCGTGGGTAGAACAAATTTCAATATGTAATTAAATTGCCCCCCTTTTTTTTGGTTTGTTGGACTATTTATACAATCCAAAAGCCAAACCAGACTCACCAGAAATTTCTCTTTAGATATTGTAAGAAATTCTTAAATTCGTTATAAAGACAAAATGTGACCACTTAACTTACTGCTAAAAAAAAGGACTTTAAATTATTTATGATACACTGTTAAAACTCAGTCTTAGAAGCATTTTTTTTCAGGGGTTAGCATGAATATAAACATACAAAGCCTAAAATTAAACACACAACCTTTCGTTTTCTACATTTTACCAAAATATACAAAATGAAAAATTTCTCTCCCAAACATGGATAGTTTTATGTAAAAGTATTGGCTTTTCAAGTAGAACAGGATCATATCTTGTTATTTAAGAAATGTTTAAAATTTTAAACTTTTTCTACCTTCTACTCTCAAAGGTTTTAAACAGGGTGTATCTCATATTAACAGAACACTTTTTTTTTTTGTAAATGGAATACCAATGTAAAGATCTAATTTCCAGATACTTTCTGGGCACTGTAATGTCAACAATTCTGGAATCTTTTGGCGCTGCTTCTCATTCATTTTAAGGCTTCTGAGTTGTGCTCATTCCAAACTAACCCATTTGTAGAATCTTTCTTCGTCATCTAAATGGTGTGTTGCTGAATTTATTGTGATATATAATCCTGGATAAAAGTCAGGATTTTCTATAGAATTGTCTTATCAATATTTGTGTAGTGAAGTCCTTATCAAGAAACTCTTGAACAGGATAATGTGTCTAATAATATTGCTGAAGTTATTCTTAATCAAATAGAATTGAACCTGAATGTGAATGAATTGTTATTTACTTTTGTACATTTTTATTGTAATGTTTCCAGTTGGGCTGGCTATTTCTAGCCCATTATTTCTTTTTCGTGTTGACAGATTGTAGACAATTACACAAGAAAAACAATCGTAGACTAAGCATTAGGATAGCCGGTTATTCAATAACACCAAAACCGTACCTTGATTCTTTGAGGTTAACCCTCTACCAGGTTTTGTTTTAAGAAAGAACCAAAGGAGACAGTGTTCTGCCATGAGGTTAAGTATCAGCATATAAGTTGAGGAAAGTTAGTCTATCAATAAATACTTTAGGGTATTGATTATGAATTGAGCAGGGCAAAAAAGAAAGTACATAACCCACTGTTCTATGCAGCATTTTACAGATTTTGCTGTACTTTTTAAAGAAATTACACTAACCCCCTTGCTGCCAATCAAACAAGGCAACTGGAAGTGGCATTTGTTTTCAGAAGAGCCATGCTTAGAAGTGTGACCATAAGACACATCTTGTACAATCTGCTCATTTGCATGATCTAGTTTCATCTGTAATAATATGGCCACAAGCTGGACAAGACACTGAGTATTTGAATTGAAAATAAATTTTCTTGACTGAGCTTGTGTCAAAATTCCAAAATTTTGCTTTGTCTGACAGTATTGCAGTTCTGGGAATTCTGAGAACTGAAAAACAGAAAGGAATTAAGAAAATAAATAAAACATACCTTCAAGTCAAAGTATTTTAGAGTGAAACTATTTTGTGTACATTGTGTTTTTAAAATAAAGACTCTGTAGATCACTGTGGTATTTCAAATTTGTTTCATTTTAATTGATAATGTTTGCTCTTAAAACTGATAGTTACTGTTAGAAAGCAAGATGAAGCCCGAGCCAGTGGAAAAGCTTGTTTCAGAAAATCATTTTGTGTTGTTGCTGTGATGTGCATGGTTTGCAGAGATTAAGTGCATTTTTTTCTGTCTGTACTGATTATTGTATATAGGGGATGTTATAAATATACTTTTTTTGTCAGCATCATTATTTCAACTGTAAACATCTGTCCAAATGGTGTAGCTTTACAAACCATTCACTGATTTTGTGTAATTTAACAATAGATATGAAATAAAGTTTAAATTGCAGGCTCTGAGTAATTTCGTTATTTTAGTTGAGGTTTGCAGCCTCTAGACATTATGACTTCACAGACAGAATTCTCTTTTCTCAAGGAGTTTCCTTTTTTCCTTTTGGCCACCTGATATGGAAATGAGATGGCCCATTCTAATCTAAATGGCCTTAGCTTTGGCTGCTTTCCTCTGGTAATCCACACTCTTCCCTCTTTTGAGTAAAACAAGAGTTGCCCATGAAAAGACAAGGTTTGGTATTGTATTTTAGTCAGCTCAGACTGCTATAACAAAATATCATAAACTGGGTGGCTTAATAACAGAAACTTATTTCCCACAGTTCTATAGGCTGGAAGTCCGTGATAGAGGTGCCAGCATCGTCAGGTTCTAGTAAGGACTTATATCCCTTGCAGAATGCCATCTTCTTGCTGTGTCCTCACATGGCAGAAACAGCTAACTAGGTGTCTGTCCTCTTTTTAAAGGGGACTAATCCCATCTATGAGGGCTCCACAGTCATGACCTAATTACATCCCAAAGGCCCTACATACACCACCACATTGGGATTAGGGTTTCAACAGATGAAATTTGGGGTGGGGGCACATTGAACCCATTATACTATGCAAATGAATGTGTGTTTTAATTTAAAATTCATTAAAGTATATATGTGCATGTCTTAGAACATGCAGGAAGGAAAAATAGCACTCCTTATTTCTTATCTATCCCCTGTGTCCACAGGAGAGAGGTTAAAGGTAAGCAATAAAGTGTTAGTTTTTACACTCATGGAACACAAGGTGCTCTATTAATATGTAATGTACATTTTTCTTCAAACTTATGGTTAAGACTATAGATGGGGATGATTTGTCCTTGCCCTTTTCAAAAGAGAATTTAGGTATTATTTCATTGGGATTAAAGGGGAATTTAACTATGCTCAGCATGTAAACTATTTATACTTAGAAAGTTTTGCTCATCAACTGTTTATTGAGTAATAATTGAGTGACCAAAGCTCCTGATTGTATAAGGGTCCCACAACCCCTTAGGAAGAATGGTGAACAAGAACATAAAATATTTAGAAAATAAAGACTTTTTCCCTTGAGGAGGATAGCCTTGGAGACCTGGGCTCTATTACTGAAGTGGGGAACAGGTAGAGGACCTGCACTATGCTTCAGATCACAAGTTCGGGGTTGGCTACTAAGGAAATTGGCTATTGAGGTAGCCCAGAGGGGAGCTATAATGAAGAATTAATTCATTAGCCCAGTATCTAAGGACTTATGATTCTCCATAGGAGTTATAACAAAACTAGAGGCCCAGTTCATAAAATTTGTGCAGGGTGGGGGGCGGTCCCCTCAGCCCAGCCTGCCTGGACCCTCTCCAATCCAGGACCACTTGGGGAATGTCCAACTGCCAGTTTAGTCCTGATCCCTCTTACAATCCCAGACTGCTGGCTCCTAATTGCTCACCTGCCTGCCTGCCTGCCTGGTCGCCCCTAACTGCCACCCTCTGCCGGCCTGATCACCTCTCACTGCTTCTGTGTGCCGGCCTGATTGCCCTTAACTGCCCCCCCTGCAGTCACCCCTTACTGCCCCCCTGCCAGCCTGGTCACTCCCAACTGCCCCCCCTGCAGGCCTGGTCTCCCCACACAGCCTGCTTGATCAGTTGTTTGGTTGTCCCTCACTAACCTCCCTGCTGACCTGGTCGTAGGCAGCCATCTTGTAAGGGCGTGAGGGTTAATTTGCATATTACCTCTTTATTATATAGGATAAGAGCAGTGTTATCTTGGAGGGGTAGGAGGTCTACAAGATCTGTCACACATGCAGAGATTATTTCCTTCCATGGGTGGTGGTGAAAAGAAACATAAAATCATCACATGACAGGTTTGAGACAACTACAATTTCCCCATGCCTGAGACACAGAAGAGACCAACAGAGTAGTCCAGGGTGATGTGATGTGCAACCCACAGATTTCTTGCCCTGACTTAAGGAGGAATTTCTCCTATCAGTTTTACTAAGGATCAAACTATGCAAACAAACAAAAACCAAGTATTTGTAAATCATCTAACAAGACACAGTGCATTCTGAGTCCAAATGTAACCTCCTGGGATTGTGGGATACGGTAATCCTAATTAGATCAACACCTTAAAAATTCTAAAGTAAATTTATAATACATAAATCAGACCTTCACAAATGTTAAAAAAAACCCTTGGAACTGCCTGAGAATAGTATCTTGAAAACAAAGCAAATCAGTTGTTTCTCAGTACAAGAGATGCTGTTCTGAGTAGCTAGAGCAGGGGTTCAAAAACTATGGACCTGGGCCAACCAAATGCAGCCCTCCACCTGCTTTTGTAAATAAATTTTTTTGGAACTCAGTCATGCACATTCTTTACATATTTCCTCTGGCTTTTCTCACACTTACAGAGGCAGAAGTAGTTGCAACAGAGATCTTATGACCTGAAAAGCTTAAAATATTTACTTTCTTGCCCTGGAGAGGAAAAAAAAATTGGTCAACCCTTGAGTTGGAGAGCCAATTAAAACTTCCTAAACAGTGAAATCTTGGCAGAGTTTATAATGATCACAGAGTCTGAGAGAATACAGGGGTGTGATTCAAACAATATACTTCCCAATAACACAACACAACATTTACTGAATATATATTACATGAAAGTCACTGCATTAGGCTTGAGAACAGGGAAGAATCTGATCTTTTCTCTCTGGATTATGGAAGTCTAAACCAAATGCTGTGTCACAGTATAGTTAAAAGTTTAATTAATTTTTCAGTGTGTGTGTTTAATCACATGCTTCTAAAAACTATATAGAAGTATGTAAAGTAAAAAGTGAAATTACCTACACAACTCTCACTCTCACTCTCCCAAAATAACGAGTGTAATTATGTGATTTCTTCCAGACCTCCTTGTCTTATTCACATTCAAATCTAATATTCCTCCTAGTCCCCAACTCTCTCTCTCTCTCTCTCTCTCATCATATTCTCTCTCTCATCATATTGATAGCAAAAATGAAACCATGTTTCTGTCATTGTTACTCAATTTCCATTTTTAAAAATAGTTTTCCTATAAAACTGGAATATAATGGATAGTTTGCCCTAAGCCCCCAAACTGAGATCTGCTGATGTTTTAGGTTGCGAGTGCAGGCCCTGGATCCATACTGCCTGGGTTTGAATCCCAATTCTACCACTTACTAGCTTTGTGACCTTAGGGAAGTCACTAATCTCTCCATGCCTCAGTTTCCTCATCTGTAAATGGAGAAAATAATAGTTCCAACTTCAGAAGAATGCTGTGAGAATTAAATGAGTTCATATTTGTAAAGCACTTGGAACAGTACTTGACACAGAATAAGCCTTATATGTGTTTGATAGTATTATGATGATGATTATTGTTATTAGTATTGAAGGCTAGATGCCTAATAAGTGCTTATGTGTTTTATAGCTAAAGACTGACTCTGAGA